GGGGAGCTGGGTCCCCTCGGGCTCCGGGTGCCCGGTCACCCGGTGGGGGCGGGGTCACCTGCTCATGGATGCACTGGAGGTTCATCAGCCGGGTGTCCCAGAACTCGAACTCGACCCGGGGCAGCGGGTTCAGCCCGTCCAGCAGGGCCTGGGCCGAGTCTTTGCTCAGCACGTCCCGGATCTGGTGGGACCAGTCGATGACGATGGTCTCGATGGCGTGCAACAGGCTGCTGTCCAGCAAGGGGAGCCTGCAAGGCAGGGGTGGGGGATGCCAGGCCTCCCCTACGGGGCTCCAGCCGCCCTGCCCCCGGCCTCCCTCCGACAGGCCCCCAACACCCACCAGCAGCCCCGAGTCGCACCCCCCATCCCAGGCTCCTCCTCACAGCCACCTGGGGAGGCTGGAGGGTTCCCCCGTCTCCCGGGGAGGGGAGAGCCTGAGCAAATGGGGGTGCGCTCAGAGAGGCCGGCTCCCCCCAGAAACAGAAGGCCAGCTTTGGAAGACAATGTCCAAGACGGTGCCTCCTGGCCATTCTGACTGGGGCTCAGTGGCCCAGGAGGACCTGCCCACACGGCGAGCCCCAGAGCGGCCACCCTCGGGTGTGAGCAGGTGGAACGAGCCATCGCCTGTGCAGCTCCGGGAGCCTCACGCACCAGCAGCTGCATGTGGGGGTCGGGCACGTGGGGGGGCTCCCGGGAGTGCCCTCTCCACCTGCTGGAAATCCCTGCTTGGCCCCTCAGTGCCCCAGGTACCAACATCCTAAAGCTGGGGCCCCCTTTCCCGGCTGGGGGACACATGTGACAACGTGACGTTGGACCGGCCCAGGTACGTGATGGGGAGGGCTCCCGTGCCCCGTCGGTCCGGCCCTGTGCCCTCCACCCGGACTCCGTGCCCCGTCTCGCCCCCGGTGTCTTGCGGGCTGCGGGCCCACCTCTCCATGGACTCCAGCGTGCCGTCCAGGCTCCCCAGGTGCTCGGGGATGGGCAGCAGCGTCTTGCCCCGGATCTTGCCCCCCATCACGAACATCTCGTTCTTGAGCCGGTGCACCTGCTTCACCAGATCCTCCGAGACCACGCGGGGCCACCCGCTCATGTTCTCGCTCTGGTTCACTTTTTCTGCCAAGTGGATGGAGCGTTGGCCTGCGGGCTGAAGGGCCCCAGATTTGATTCCGGTCAAGGGCACGTACCTGGGTTGCAGGCTCCATCCCTGGCCCCGGTCCGGGCATTGGGGAGGCAACCAATCGATGTGTCTCTCACATCGATGTTTCTCTCTCTGTCTCTCCCCCTCCTTCCACTCCCTCTAAACATCAATGGGCAAACGTCCCCACAGCCTCTCGCTCGATGTGTCTCTCTCACATGGATGTTTCTCTCTCTGTCCTCCCCCTCCTCCCACTCCCTCTAAGCATCAAGGGGCAAACGTCCCCACAGCCTCTCGCCGGCAGGTGCACAGTAGCGTTGGGGGTCCTGCCCGATCGCCGGTGTCCCAGCCATGGGGTGAGGGGGAGCGGGCCTGACCTCCTGCCCTTCTAACCAGCTCCCCGGCCAGGCAGGTGGCTGGGCACCACCCTGGGGAGGTGGGG